AAAAGCAGCAACAAGTCTTAGTTGTGTACATTGGCTTGGCAAAAATTCCCAAACCCAGTCTTGCTTTGTTCCTCAGCAGCCGCCAAGTGAGCCCTCATACATCATATTCAAGAACAGTAATATAACAAATGATTACTATTTCTACCCTTACGAGGAATCCGACTTTGCTCAGCAAGTTTGCATACAAATTCTTAAGTCTTTTTAACGCCCTGAAGGAGAGGAACCCTATTGATATTCTGCAGTTAGGAAGCTGAGTCATAGGATGGCTAAGCAAATTGCCCACCAAAACTTAATGACTAGGAGAGGTGGGTCCTGATCCCAAGTGTGTGCCCCTAAGTCAGGTCGTCTGCATAATGCCACTTTAGAACAATAAGTAGAAACATAAGTAGGTAAAACACATGCCCAAGAGCATCCAGTCGGACCAGACATGGACGGGAACACTCAGTCCCTGTCCTTGGACTCTGCTCTTGAGCCACACTGTGTCCCATAGCCTGACATCCAGCATGAGTGGTTTTTATTGGCTCATGCCCTCAGCAGTCCTTGAATTGCAAAAGGTATAAACCTATTCTTGTCAATGAAAACAAAGACATTTTCTCAAAAGGAGTCACAGAATCAATGAGAAGGCTGCTATGCCAGGCAGCTCTAGAGACTGGTGAGTTGAAATGAAACAAACCATCTCTTGCCAGGAGAGATTGGTCCTGGGTCTCTCTGTCCTTCTCTCAGCATCCTGGTTTGGGTCAGAGATTACCCACTGGGAAAGAGGTATTTCCCTAAAATGAAATCATGTACTGTAGCTGGGGCACTGTGTCGCCCAATTCCAGGGGCCACCCTAGAGTCTAATGTGAGTGGCCTGCCCTCAGGTTGCAAAACACCAGCAATACAAATGAATTCCAGCCCTCCCCTCTGAGCCTCTGCACCTGTGATGTACACTGCCCTCACACACCACTGGCTCCTCATAGTTAACGTTGGTATAGCTTAATTATTGCTTCTCCAGGTGCACTAGAAGATTCTTAAGGACAAGATCCAGAATGTTAACATCTCTGTTTCAAATACCACATAATATAGAGTAGCAATTTCCAATAAAACTCCCCATATCCACACCCAAATACAGACTTTCTTTTAAACATGACTGGACCAGTACATATAGTGCCATAAAATGGGGGTGTTGGCCATCTAGCACACACTGCGTTTGCATGCGATCCCTAGGAAGGATAGATATGCTGAGGACATGGGCATTTAACAGAAGCCAAAGTCTATACTAAGAACAGTCTCCTGGTAGAAGTTCTGCCTCAGATTGCCCTGGGGAGGCCTTTTTAAAGGAAAATTAACCTCGCCCTCCTGGTATTGTTCCACGTGGACAGCTACTCTTGCTGCAGCCATGCTGCCCCTGGCCCAAAGCCCCTTGTAATGTGGAGAGTTTGACCTTTCTGCAAATATTTACCGAACAGGTCCTGTGTGAAGCAGGAAGTCTCTGGGTCATTAAAAGAGCTCAGTAGCTAACAGCAATAAGCATGTATTCACCTCCATCCTCCTCCACCATCCCTTCTCCCTCATACCAGGTCAGTTGTTCTGAGTGATTCATTCCCTAATCCATCCTCTGTGTCAGCACATCCCAGGCCCAGACACTTCCAGAGGTATACAATAGCAAGAGCAAGAATGAAGTTGGTTGGCAAACCCATGTCCTGACTCTGGAGCTGCTCATTCAGTAACCTCATTCAATAACCATACATGGCATCTAGTTGTGTGTCAGACTCTGTGCAATGTGCTCAGAACCATCAAACAAGAAGGCACAGATGCCCAGTCTAGTGAGTAAAGCAGCCCTATAAACAGATGATTACAATTCTGGGTGGTCACTGATTCAAATGGTTCACATGATAATCTTGTCTACTATCATATCCAGCACCTTGAATAATACATAGTTTATATCAGATGGACCCCAGTCATGTGGATTGGTGAATGAATATATTAAAGGCTAACACTTAATGATTGCCTAACATGTGCCAGGGGCTGTTATAAGAGTTTTACATGTATTAACTCATTTGATGTTCACAAGAACCCTATGAGATGGATGCTATTATCACCCGCACTTCCTAATAGAGAAACTGAGACACAGAAAGGTCGGATGACTTGCCCAGTTAGTAGGAAGAAGAGCCAAGATTCAAACCCAGCCAGGATAGTGTGGCCCCATAGTCTCTGCTCTTAGCCTCTGCTTATAATATGCTACGTGCACAGTGTGGGGAGGCAGTCACCCTCTGAGGAACTAGACAAGGTTTCATCCTTTCTCCTGACTTAATATTGACATGGATGGACCACTCAGCACCACAATACCTCAATTCCTCAACTTCCTTACTTCTAATAACCATTTCCATCATTCCACCTCAACTGTTCTCTCCCTGCCTCCTGCTATCAACTCTGCATCCTGATATTGCCAGTAAATGCTTAACTTCTGAAATCTGAGTCAAGCCTTCTGACCTTTGGCCTCACCATATCCGTCCAACTTACCTATTCTATTACCTTAATTGCAATGCTGGAGACTCCATTGACTTCACCACTGTTTTGCTATTAACCAACTCCTCCTGCCTTCATTTTTTTTCTTACCCTCCCTAGATTCCATGCTGTTATAAGCTTCTCCCTTTATCTATTCCTAGTAGCCTTGCCTTTCTCTCCTTGTCATTTTTGTCCAGTAAAACTCTAATCCAACCATCTACCCTCTCTATTTATGCATCAGAGCTACTGAATGTTGCTGAGAAAGTATAAATCTGAGCCAACCAGAGAATCTTTAAATTCATAGCCACAAGCCTCAAAAAAGCACTCAACAGTGCTGCCTAGTAGTCCTACTGTGTTTTTCAAGTAAATTTCTTCCCCACTATCCATAACTATTGTATGCCATCTTCTTGCTCCTCAATGAGCCAGAGTCATCACCCTCAGGTTTTCCTTACATCTCTGCCCATGACCTTCACTGGGGAAAAAAAACACAAAAAAACAGAAGTAATCAGTCTAGAACTCTGTCATTGGTCCACTGACCAATCTACAAATCTATCTACATCTGAACCTGTACTGTACTGCTGTCTTTTCAACCTCTTAACTATGGGAGCAATCTTTGTGCTTCCCTCAAAGGCAAATCCCTCCCCTCTCATTTTCTTAAACACTTCATTCCTTCAGTTATTTCCTTTCTTCTGCATCTTCAATCCCTCTCTTTCTACAAATGACAAAGAGCAATCTCTCCTGTCTTAAAGAAACAAGCCACTCAACTCTACACTTTCTTCTAGTTGTTGTTCGTTTCTTTGTTGCTTCTCTCTATAGAAAGCTTTTTCACTTTCTTACATCCATATCACTCTTCAACCCACCCTATTTGGGCAATAGTTTTCACTTCTCCAATGATCTTGTCAAGGCCACTAAGTGATGTCCATATTGCCAAATCTACTACAAATATTTGCCCTTAAACAAATTTTTGATACCATGCAATACAGTTGATAATACACTCCTTTTTAATTGATTAGAGAGAAAAAGAGAAACATTGATGTGAGAGTGGAACATTGATCGGTTGCCTCCAGAATGTGCCCAAAACAGGGACAAATCTATAACCTAGGTATGTGCCCTGATCAGAACTTAAACCTGCCATCTTTTTGTGTATGGGATGATGCTCCAACCAACTGAGCCACACCCTCCTCTTTTGAGGAGCCTGACTTCTTTGATCCATCCACTTCTGGTTGCCCCCCCTCTCCACATCTGTTCCTTCTTAATTGCCTTGGCTGGCTTCTCCTTCTCTGTTCTTCTCCTGGAGTTTACAGGGTGTCAGGAGTGGTTCTGGCCCTTCTTCCTTTTCTACCTATTAATTTTATTTTCCTGGGAATTGGAGGGAGGGGAGGAAAGGGTGCTCTCATACTGTCCTGTGCCTTTATCACCATATACATGTTAATGACTCAAATATTCATACTCTATCCCTAACCTCTTTCAAAAATTCCAGATTTATGTACCCAACTGCTCTCAAGGTCCCTTAGTAATCACCCCAAAGATAGAGCTCTTTAATCACCATCCCCACACAAACTTGTTTCTCCCCAGGCTCTCCTATCTCAGTAACTGGCACGGCTATCTACCCAGGTGCTCAAGCCTATACTCTCCTTTGCTCTCACTCCACATGCAACTCATCAGTAAGTCCTGTCTCCCAGTGTAGTCATGATTTTATTAATTTTTCTTCATCACTACCATCATGCTTCACTAATCCATCACTCTCCTTAGCCACTGAATGGCCTCCATTCTAGGCATCTTCTCTCATTTGTCATTTGACTTTTTACCACTTTTTTTACATGGGCCCTTTTGTTCACTATACTTCAGCACACTCATCTCCCTGTCCTTCCTTCCCAAACTCTTGTCCATATCAGGGCCTTTGTTCTTTCTGGTGCCCTGGAGTTCTCTTCTCCCAGATCTTTAAATCATCACCTCACTTTCCTCCCTCGGGGCTTAGCTCCAATGTCATCTCTTTAAAGATACCGTCCCTGACCAGCCATCCTATCAAATATGATATCTCCCAGTACATACCTTTGGAAGCATTTATTGAGTGCTTCCCAGACACTGGTGCTTTACATTGATTAATTCTTTTATTTTTCACAACTTGATGAAGTGAGCACTGTTGTTGTCATTATTATATTCATCTTAAAAACAGGGAAATTGAGCCCAAGGAGGCAATAACTGTCCAAGGTCAAACAGTCTTCAGAGATGGTTTCAGAATTTAACCCTGCGCAGCCCAGCCCCAGCCTGGCCTCTTAACTATCACACCACCTGCCTCGATCTCCTTACCTGATGTCTCCTTCTAGCCCTTTTTACAATCTATCTACTGTTTAGGTGCTGTCAGTGTCCTCATTAGAATATCAGCAGTGTTTGGACAAAGATCTTTTTCTTCACCACTGGATCCCCAGAGCACAGTGAGCAGAGAAAATATGAGAAGTCATTTTTGTTTTAAATGGTTGAATAACACTATGCATGCTTTCTATATTTTTCAGAGCAGATTTATTATGCTGGCCCTGCCAATAATCTTGGATTTGATATTCCCAAGGTAAGGTTTTGTTTTGCCATTTTGTTTTGTTACTTAATTATTATATCGAGCAGTTTCTCCAAGAACAGAATGATGAGGTTCGTGGATAAGGAAGAGGAAGGGAGGAGAAGAAATAGGGAATTAAACAGTTAACCCTTCATAGGCCACTAGTAAGAAAACCCTCTTTCAGCAAAGCTGATACCTCATAGTGGGCAATTTCAAATGTTTGACACACTGGTTTTGTCATTTTGGTATTTGACATTTTACATCATGTCGAACCTTTGGGGATCCTTTAGTTCAGTGTTTCCCAAACTTTTGACATATGTGTACCCCTTCTATAATTTTTGTAATGCTGAGTACCCCTCTTACTCATGAGAAGGTAGAATTAGGTTCAGCTAAACAAGGTGCAGTGCATATCCCCACCAAACTTCGGTGCAAGGTGCAACGCGTACCCCCACCAAACTCTTTCCATACCCCTAGGGGTATGCTTACCACACTTTGGGAAACACTGCAGTTCAACACCTCTCACGTAGAGGGATGTGTCCCTTCAGGGCTGCCCTGCCTGTGGGGACTCCATGTAACTGCAGCTGCTGGGGTGTGGGAGGCAGGCACAGGCTGGCTGTCTTTAGCGCTCAGTAAGGCAGGCCTTTCAAAGAAAGGACTAAACACAACCACGAGGGCTTACAGGTGACCCAGTTAGCGTCCTTACACTGCTATTCAGGGGCTACCACCGAGTAAATAAAGTGTCCACATCTTGAGTGTTCACAGGAGAGCCTCACAGTTAAGAGTAAAATTTTCCACTAATTCCATTTTTCTCAAAACAATGTGATTTTATTAGATGGCTGCATGCAAGCAGCTCTGACATAAGCCATACATTTTCAATATGCTACTCCTCAGAAAACCTTATGGAACAATATAAAACAATCAGAAAAATGTAATAATCTTATTTTTTGTTTGTTTTTAACATCATCATTTTTGTCCTCCAAAGGGTCTCCTTCTTCATAAAAAAAAATATTTAATTTCATTTCATTTCTCTAGTGTTTTCTTTCTATCCTAACCTCTAGTTCCTAAGGTCAAAGCTGTGGTGTCTGTAGGCCATCTGGGACCTTCACCATCATTCCTCGAGCATCTGGGAACTTACTTCCCTCCTCCCCCTCTCTGAGGTTCTTCTTCTCCAGAGTTTTTTTTCTCTGCAAGCCTTTCAGTATAATATGAGTTTTGCAAATCCTCTTCATTTCTAAAATGTGGAGTCTAAATTCTCCAGATAGATTTTTCTATAAATCTTTGTTATTTGAATTGTTTTTCCTTATTCATTTTCTTTCTGATTCCCTCCACCCCACCCCATACACACACACACACACACACACACACATACACACACACACACACACTGGAGATTGACTTAAAATTTGCAAACAATTGACTTTCATCTTGCATTATTGGCTTTTTTTTTTTTTTTTAATAAATCAGTTTCTGTTAGCAATTGTCATGAAATAGAAGGGGAAAGAACCCATGGAATCCTTCTGAAATAAAATTTACCAATTTTATTTCTGTACAAAGCTTTGTTGCCAGGAAAGATGCCAAATGAGATTATTGCTCAACATGAGGCAAAGATGCAGTCAGGTCTCTTGGCCCTGGGTCTGGGTGCGTAAGCATCTACAGACTGTCTTTGCCTGGTCCTCTTGCCTCCTCCTCTTCTGAGTCCTGGGCCTGGGAAGCAGAAACCTGGCCAGCCCTCTTCCCCCAACCCCCACCCCACAGGCTGCTGACACCTTGCCAGACCCAGCAGGGGAAATAACCCAAGTGGGACACATGTGGCCTGTCACATAAGCAACAGAGGCAGCTGGAGGCCTTAATCCCCACGTGGGCTCCCATGTTGGCTGAGGACCAGCTGCGGTCAGCTCAGGGTACTTGGCTGACGGCCAGCCTACAAGGCTCAAAGACTTCCCTTCCTAATATGGGACAGAGACAGTGCTAAGTCTTTTGGTTTGAAAAAAATCCCCTCCTCCCACCAAATCCCCTGGAGATGGGCCCTGTGCTAATTCTGTATCTGCTTGGCTGAAAACGTCCATTCAGCAGTCAATCTGTACTTTTCATAAGCAGGGCCTGGGCCCAAAGGGAGGCCCGTGGGACCCTGCATCTCTCTGTAACTGCTGTTTTCTGGATTAGAGCTCAAGATCCTTGGCCTCCAAAGCACAGGGACAAATTGTAGGTACAGCCTGAACTGCATACGTGCCAAGGACTGCACGTTCCTAACTCACACATTCAGTGTTCATCTCTACAGCAGAAAGGCCAGTGCTCTCTGTCCCTTGTCCCTATGCTGCCCCGTCTTCCAGCATGTCCTTCCACCTGCCTACAGTCAGGCACAGTTGTCTAAATAGTACTGTCTCTTAAGCCAAAGTATCTATAGCTTGTAGTTCATAATCTAGAAACCCTTCCTTCCAATACTACATCTGACATTAGGCTTACAAAACAATAATAAAAATTTTATTTTGTTTTCAATATTTTATAAGGTATGGACATAAATGCACATGGGCAGTTAAAAGAAAAATAGATGGTGATAATTAAACATAATCAGATGCAAACTTGAGCTGGTTTTTACTCATAATTAATTCTCTTTTACACTGCTTTGGTTAAATTCCTGACCCTGCTCCTGTAACCACAGCTGCTCCATGTTTGAGCAGTCAGACTCACAGGAACCTATACAGCACAGAAGCCTCAAGCTGAATGGTGCCTGGGATGTTCTAATCCATCCCCATGCTCCAGACACCATCCTGAGGGGAACTTGGGCGTCTCCAATACAGTTTTCAGTGGGGGGGGGGGGAGGGGAAAGGGGTGGACCCACTTGCTCCTGGACCTCTGCTAATTGCTAGGAAGTTGTTCTCTTCTAACAAAAACTGCCTTTCATGCAACTTCTACCCAGCCATCTGATTTATCCCTTCCCTCTGGCTTGCACAGATTAGACCCCTTTCCTTCCTCCCGTGACAGGCTTGTCAAAGATGTGCCAGGAGTCTCCTGCATCCTTCCCTCTTGGGCCCTTGCCCTGCTTAGCGTGGCCACTGCCCGCCCCAAGCTTTTCCTCTCCAGACTGCTGAGTCTACAAACCCCACCACATGGCCCTGTGGGGGTTGGGCAGGCCTTCTGCTGAGAGCAAAGCAGATGTGGTTAACCTCTTTCTGCAGCTCCACACAGGCCTGTGTGCAGCCACTAACACAGACAAGAGGATCCCTTTGCAGAGTGTTATTGCCGGAAAGGAACCCTAAACGACAGCAATACTTTTTCTGACAGAGCATGTTGGTTTCATACAGTTGGCTTTTACTCCCCTAGAGATCTTCCCTGTCTCAGCAAATCACTTTATCCTTCTGCTTTTTCAGGCCAGAATCCTTGGAGTCACCCTTAAACCCTCTCTCTCCCACCCACATGAGTTTCCTTAGTAAATCATATCAGCTATTCTTACAAAATCGATCCAGAATCCAACCCCCACTCCCTGTCCACCATCTGCTCCAAATCAGCATCTCTCACCTGGTTTATTGAGTCACCTCCCACTACTCTTCCTGCTGCTCCCTCTCTCCCTGCAGCCCTGTACTAGCTAGAGGCAGCCACAGGGGCCTGTCAACATGCACCAGGTTGACCACTCCCTAGGGGAAAACACTCTCATGACCTGTGTCCCTTTCAGGGCTGAAGGCAGCATTCCCATGGCCAGTGAGGCCTCCTTGACCTCATCTCCTCTCCTTTCCCCTGGGGTTCCCTCTCCCTGAACCCCACTGAAGGCTTCACTGGTCCTTAAGCATGGGAGCCTAGCCCCAAGCAGCATGGGGTGCTCCTGACCTTCTCCACAGGTCTGCCTTGCCATCCTACATAAAATTGCAACCCAACACTAGCCCCATCCCACCCTACCCTGCCCTGCCCCGCACTCCCACCACCCCTTCCCTGCCCAGTTCTCTATGTAATGTCAGCATGTGACACACCACACACAAAGCTAGTGATCACATGAGCTGTCTGCCTTTCCAGAGAGCCACAGACTTCACAGGGTGAGGTTTGGCTTGTCTGCTTCTACTTTATCCCCAGGGTCCAGAGCAGTGCCTCACATGGAAGGTGCACGATGACTCTTTATTGAATGGTCGAGTGCTCTATGGCTCACACACCTCATGCTTTCCTCGTGTCCTTTTCAGGGAGACTACCAGGTTTTGCTGAAACTGTATAATGAAAAGCATTCCATGGTGGCCTGTGTCAATGCTACCATCATTTGCTCCTGAGCAGCTCAAGAGCCCAGCAGCCTTGTCATGTGGAAATTCCAGGCATCTCCAACTGAACCCACCGTGTAAGCAGAACCTCTATGAGAAGGCTTGCTGAAGGCATCGGCGCTGACTTAGCCCAGCACCAGGGGCCCCAGTCTCCACATGTAGAATGAAGCTCTCGGAATCACTTGCTTTTAAGGAGCCTCCCTGCAGTCACAGCAGTCCTGAGGGCCCATCCTCTGTAAGTGGGCACCTCACACCAGATGCCCTGCTTTGCAGCTCCCTAGGAGTGCTTCCTCAGGAACCAGAATAAAGAAAGCTGGCCCACAGTGGATCATGGTTCTTCAAAGAATCGGAGTACAGTCTTGTAGTGAAGTCATTTCCTGCAAACAGGGCGCTGGGGCCAGGCGCTGTGGCCTGACACTGCATGGGTGGTTCTAAGAGGGTCCGGAGGATGGTTGCCCTGCCTAAGTTAGCGCGCTGGGGAAACCTGTCATCCTTCTGCTGGGCAAGCCCTGCCCCCTGGAGCTCAAGGGCAGAGAAGCTGACACCAAAGTCTTATTTGGTGGATAGCTGCACAGCTATGTACCTGGCCCTGCTCTCAGCCTGGTACTCCAGGGAGCGAAGCAGGCACTGTCCCTGCCTTCACGGAGCTTGTGGTCCCTGAAATATTACAAAGCCACGTGTCGGTCAGTGGACACATTTATTCATACACAGAAGCACCTCAGTGCCCTGTTATGAGCCGGTTGCCTGCCTGCTGTCAAAGCCATCTTGGCAGCCCCATCTTCTCCTGTCCCAACACCTGCACAACTGATTGATGGGCCCCACAGCCCCTTTGCCATCCCGTGTTCTCCCTAACCCTCCTTCCTGTGTCTCTGGGCCCAACACCTGTCTGGCCCTGTTGTCCTGCAAAGGGGCTGGAGTCAGGTGACTGGGTTGACTTTAGCATTTGCAGGTCTTTTCTAGCTATGACAGTGACGCTACATTAGAGATAAAGAGGGGGAAATGCCATAGTTTTAAAAAGTTCACTGGTATCAATTACTGTCTGTATATAATTAAACTACCTAGAATAGCAATCCATAAATACCTGGTGAATCCAAACTTAAAAACCATAATCTTAGGCTCTTTGAGATTATAGAGAGACAAAATTACAGTGTGGCCTCGCCTGTGCTGCTAAATGCTCAGGAGGAAAGACCAGCTGTGGCCTGGAGGCTCGGGAGACAACCTCTGGCCACGCACAGGGTGGCACTGCTGTGCACACAAAGAGCAAGCTGAGTTTCTGACTCCTCACGGTTTCCTCCAGCAAGACTCTCCCCTGCACCCTCTTCAGTAAGCATCCCTGTCCTAGCAAAGGCCCTGGGTACCCACATGTGCCAGTCCTCATTCAGCTGTCAGCCTTCCAATGACAGGCTGAGGAATAGGGACAGCTCACTTCTTATGGTTTTACAGCTCAGCCATTGCCTTTCCTATACTTTGCCCTCTTCTTAAAAATTCAACAGTGTGGGGGGGGGGGGGGCGGAAAGGGGGAGATCGAGAGTTTCAGATGCTATAGGTGTGGGTTAAACAAGGACTTTCATATGCGGAGCTAACCTTGGCCATGACTGTATGTACAGCAGTTGCACTAAAGGTGTTGTGATTTGGGAGAAAAGAAAAGCGTTTCTCTGGCCCAGAATATGTGTCCTTACTGTCCAGCCATGGGCCTTAAATTTCACTTTGAGTTTCACTCTTGCAAACTGAGAAAATTACCCACTGTCTACAAGTTTCCTGTTAAAATACAAAGTCCTGGTAAGAGAAACGCCCACAATCAGGATCACTCTTTAACCCTCTGGCAGAACAGAGTAACTGGGACGAAGTTGAGAGTTGCCTTCCGGAAGCAGGAGGTATTGAGGAGCTGGCAGCACCAGGCAAGCTCTCTTAGATGAACCGTCTGTGTGTGCACCTGGGGGCGGGGGCGAGTGTGCACTGTCTGTGTGTGCACCTGGGGGTGAGGGCGAGTGTGCACTGTCTGTGTGTGCACCTGGGGGTGGGGGCGAGTGTGCACTGTCTGTGTGTGCACCTGGGGGTGGGAGCGAGTGTGCACTGTCTGAGTGTGCATGAACAGAGAACTTATTTTACTTCTCTTTTCTCATAAACAAAGTTTGCTATTCTTTCAAAAACATCATCAAGAATTCCAAAGTTTCTCCTCAATAAACGTCCCTAAAATCAGTGAGTTGGTTCAATATTATGCTATGCCCCGGAACCAAAGGACGCTGCAGAAAATAGCCAGCCCGTCACCACAGTGCCACGGATCCGCCTCATATTTTTAGAAAAATTGTAATTCTGTGTTTACTTTTTTTTTTTTTTTTAAGGAAATGCCAGTGCCCAAGGGAAGTGTTGTCAGGCTAGGGTTCAGCAGAATGCTGAAGATTCATTTGGGACAGTGTGATCACATCTCAACCTGTTCGGTCTCTGAGAAACAGACCCCTTTCAGTCTGACTTGCACACATGGCAACCTCTGGGCCCCTGTGACTGCCCAGCCGCAGGGTTCCGCCTCAGCTGCGTTTGCTGAGTTTCACTGTTCTCAGCACTCCCCTCGCCCCCCATTTCTCTACAGTTCCTTCAACTCTCATTTCCCTCTACAGCTATGTGCAATTATTTACAGCTATAGGAAAGACTGTTTCACTCTCAACAGTCTTTCCTATAGCTGTAAATAATTGCACATGTCAAAAGTACAAAAAAAAAAATGAGAGACAACTTTATCCAAAAGTCATTCATTCTGAGTGCAAGGTCTAGGGTCACATGACTACTCCTGGCCACTTTGGCCTGGCACTGAGTGGCTTAGCCTAGGTCACTTCCCCCGCCCCTTCCCCAGACTAATGTTAGTCTCCCTGGAACCAATTTCCCTACTTGGAAACTGAGGGGAGAGGGGAGTGAAAGAAGTAAAGAAAAAAGAAGGGATGGATACTAGAGTCCAGAATACAACTAGAATTAGGCCAGTTTCTGTTCTAACTTCCCTAACTATTAACTCAGCAAGTGACTTAAATTCTCTGAGCCTCAACTTCTTCGTCTGGAAGTGTGGACAATAACAATACCTACCTTATAGGAATACGATGAAAATCAAATGAGAAAATGCGTGTAAAGTGCTTGGAACAAGCCTGCGTGTAACTTGAAGTGAGTGACTGTTATAAACTGGTGCCTAATCTCTTAAAGCTGCTATAGTAAAAATACCATAAGCCAGTAACTTTATTTAAATAACAGAAATCCATTTCTCACAGTTCTGGAGACTGGGAAGTCCCAGGTCAAGGTGCAGGGCGATTTGGTGTCTGGTGAGGGCCTGCTCCCTGGTGCATAGGCAGCTCTTCTATAGGGCACTAATCCCCTAATCACCTGCAAAGACTCACTTCTGAATACCATCACCCTGGGAGTTAGAGTTTCAACAAATGGACTGGTGGTTCCCTAAGGGGTGGGTGTTCCCCACAGAGCTGAAGCCTCACCTAACTGCCTCACTCCCCTCTCCTAGTTACTGGGCAACTCCAGCCACAGCCCACAGTCCTCCCCAAGCCCTGGATGGCTCCTTGGAGCCTTGATTTCTTCTAAATGTAGCTAGTTTATTAGACCTGGGGTGGAGTCTTACTTGCTGAGCTATGTACATTTGACCATTAACTTGGAAAATAATTTAAGGGAAATATTCGAGTATAAATTTTCCCCAAAACAGAATATAACTGGGTCAAAGGAGCCTAGGAAAGAAAATGTGTGTAATTTTTTAATTAAACTTGTTTTGAAAAGAAAAGAAAAAAGATATGTCCAAGATGGAAGAACTAAATGTGACATCTGCAAGTTTAACAATTACGTCTGCCTTCAAAAAAATAACCCAAAATAGCTAGTGAGAGAACGGAAAGGACCATGTCCTGATTTCAGGGGACCCGTTAGGGAGAGGGAGCTCAGGGAGCAGTGAAACCTCAGACTTGTACCAGCTGCATGGCTCCCAGTCAGCAAACACGCTCCAGCCTAATCTCCCCACCCTTTCATCTGGCCGAGGTGGCTCCAGAGGAGGGGAAAGAGCTATTTACTTCTAGTCAGTAAATAACTTCAGTTGTTCCTTTTGGAACAGAAGCCTTCAACTGCCATCAAATGGACCAGCCTGAATTTTTTCTCTCCTTGAACCCAGCTTTTTTTTAAAATGTATGACAAGACAGAATTCTCTCCTTCAGTCTCTTGGTCTCCTTATTGCTGAGAATATATACATCATAGTTACTTTAGTTGAAGACAGTAAGTTCTTCCCCGAGCTGATATTTTCATGGATTCCCTGAAACCCAGCTAACAACAGAGGAAATCACATCCCTGCACGTGAACCGTTTCACTGTCTCATGGCTTCCCCCTCTCTTCCACTCAGAGGTGGTGGGGGACATTTGAGAAGGGGCCAGAGAACATTATTGAAATGATCAAAGGGACACAACAAGGTTTCCACATAAAGGTAGACTAAAAAGGTTAAGATGTGTGAGTTGTAGAAAGACAACATCTGAGAAGGCAGCAGCAGTAACAGCAACAATTTTTAAAAAGCTACTAATGATTTGAGCATTTTCTATGTGCTGGGCACCGTGTGGGATGTTTTACCTGCATTCAGTACTTAATCTCACTAACAGCTCTACAAATTAGGAATTAAAATCAGCCTACTGTGGAAGGAAATCAATCCTCATGTTAGTACAGCCCACGTGTCATCTCTTCTGGATATGTGGGTGGAAGTGAAGATGGTGGCATCACCTTGTGGGTGAGCTCCTGGGGGCAGAGGGAGAGGAGAAAGGAGGACCTGGTGTCTTGGGTCCTCATCCAGCCATTCCAATGTGAGACAGAGTCACGAGGAGAGAGAAGCTGCAGCTAGGAGCTGTCTTCACAAGGGTTTCTGAGAAACTCCAGGACACCAGTGGCATTTCATGGGGCCTCCATGGCCATGTGGTACAGGGTCAAGAGGGTTTAGCACAGCGTGGCCTTTCCCATTAGCCTAGGGAAGGAAGGGAGGGAGCACAAAGAGGGGACAGAGA